CGCCTGATCCTCCTTTGCTCTTGTGTTGCTGTGCCAAGGCCTCCAGCTTTAAGAAGCCCTCGCTAGGAGCCGCGTCCCAGAGGAAGAAAGCGAGTCCCAAGCTGGAGCTCACTGAGGAGCAGAAGCAGGAGATCCGGGAGGCTTTCGACCTGTTTGACACAGACGGTACCGGGAACATAGATGTTAAGGAGCTAAAGGTAAGAATTTGCCTAGTGCTAAAATCACAGTTCTACCGGGCTTATAAAATAATAGGAGCATAAACGCTTAAATGACCTTAAACAGGAAAGGAGAGATGTGTCCTTGTGCGTAGAGAAGCATCCCTCTGAGTCTGCCCCGTACCGTGCCATTTTCCCTGAGACACAGAATATGTGTTTTAACATGATGTGGCACAAAGTTCAACCTCCCCGCGCCGTGGTTTTGTTTATGGTTTTGTATGACTTACGAATTTTTTTGTCCTTACAGGTGGCCATGAGAGCACTAGGGTTTGAACCTAAAAAAGAAGAGATCAAGAAAATGATATCAGATATTGATAAGGAAGGAACAGGAAAAATCAGCTTCAATGACTTCTTAGTAGTGATGACACAGAAAATGGTATGCAAATTCTAAAAGTCAAAACAAAAGCAATGTTGAAAATGGCTGAGTGCCTTTCGTCTCCTTTTGGTTTTAGTGGAAGATGAAAGCACTATTTTAATCTTAACAACAAAATATGTGAAAGTTAAAATTGCAAGACAGGGACTACCCTATCTAATTTGTCAAGGTAAGGTTGAAATAATTACGTCATTAACTAACAAGTTTCCTTAACAATCAGTTTTGTGTGTGTGAGAAAAGCGAAAAACTGAAATCAACAGATTGTCACAGATTAAAACCAGCTCTGGCCTGAAGAAAGCTGTCGGGAGTACTGACACGTGACGTTGATGACTGTGTAGCCATGCTCTCCATTTTCTTTTCTTGAGGTTTAAGATATTTACAGATGAAACCTGTGGTTTTAAAAAACTCAAAACATGTTGAGCAAAACCAGATATTTAACAGTGGAAGATCCTGATACTGAAATCCCAAAGACATCTGGGTAGCTATGAAAGAAAAAAAAATTCTCTGAATGAAAGAAAAAAAAATTCTCTGAAACCCTGAAGTTGAGGAAGCATGGCTATGTCTCTGTCGACCTTCAGCTTTTGCACGTATACTTCCTGCTGGCTGGACTTCTTCAAGTTTGCTCTTAAGAGAGTTTCTCAGTCTATCTAGTGCTCGTCTTTTATAACTTTTAAGTGTTAACTACAACATAGTGATTACTTTTTTTCCTTAAACTTATGCTTACTTCTTTAAGGCTGAAAAAGATTCCAAAGAAGAGATTCTCAAAGCTTTCAAACTCTTTGATGATGATGAAACTGGCAAAATCTCTTTCAAAAACCTCAAACGTGTTGCCAAAGAACTGGGGGAAAATCTCACAGATGAAGAGCTGCAGGTTTGTACCTGGTTTATGAAACCATAGCATACAAATACACTCACAGTCTGCCTTTGTGTAAGGTGAGCGTAGAAAGGTCCAGATTACGCTCTGCCCATTGAATAGGAAGGCAGTCACAGAATGTTCATGTATTACTTGGTTTCGTATTTACGTTTGTTTAGAACCGATGCAAATATTCACAGTCTAATTCTCCTTCTGCCTGGAGAGCTGAGCTGTCTGTGACTGGTCTGCTAAGCACTCGAGCTAGCAGCGAGAATAAGGAATGGGAATCTCTGTCTCTGGGAGAAGGAAGCCCTCTCGGGGTCAGTTTTTAGGTAAAGGCAGCAGCCTCTCAGTTTTAGGTGCTGTCCTCCAGCGTCCTCTGGGATTCTGTCAGGAAAAAGCTGGTCCCTCTCTCCTGGCAGAAATGGAAGAGCTTCTGTCAATTTGTGATTGGGAAATAGATTCTGAGGTCAAAGATGGGTTAAGCATACATGGCTGTCAAAATTGCAGTTTTATGGAGCCAGGGTGATGTAAAAGGAACAGCTCTGCTCCAAGCACTATGTTTCTTCCAGGAGAGTTCTTATGATACAACATTTTCTATACAGATTTTTGTATAAATATATATATAAAAACATGTTACTGTCAAGTAAATATTTTGTAGCATAGTAGGACTGACATTGAGCTAACACTGTCCTCTCAGTGCAAGTTACTAAAAAGTGGTTCTATTTCTAAATTAATCTAATAATTCTAATCCACATGTAATTTCTGAATACAAATATCTTTCAGGAAATGATCGATGAGGCAGATAGAGATGGTGATGGGGAAGTCAACGAGCAAGAATTCTTACGGATCATGAAAAAGACCAGCCTGTACTGAAACAGAACTTTCTTTATTTTTGCACGTGTATATACTTTTCGTAGATGCCTGACTTTTTTATGGTCTCTTCTTTCTTTTGAGACAGCAGAAAATATAGGTCAATTTTTTTTTTTTAAGTGCACGATCTTAAACTTGTGTTTGTGAAGAGTTACCAACTGCTAACCTGTTTACACCTAGCAACGTGGTTGCTTGTTTGTGCTCGTAAGGATGTTTACGCTCTTTGTTTTCAATACACAAATCACATTTTTCAGTGACAGTATTCAGGTCCTTCTCTGACTAAAAACCATGTGTCAAATCATGAAGGTTTGGGAAAGAGAGGACTCAAAACCAGGTAACGTAAATCTCTGTTTCCCAGCAGTTGACAATTTTGGTTTAATGTCTTGGTTTGGGCCCAGCTTTAGTGAACTCTTTATATGACATATTTGTGGGGATTAGCTTTTTATACTCTGTCTTATGGTGATTATCTCCTCCCCCTTTTTTAGTATGTTCTTTAAACTGAAAAAAAAGAAGTAAGTAAATAGACTGCTGCAACTTAACTTACTGCTATTCAGTTCACGTTTAAAGAAATCTCTTTGCAAAAGAAAAGTTACCAGGGCTGCTGCTGAAAGCTCTGTACGTTTGCAGGAATATTCAGTGGCTGCAAATACAAGATTGTATTTAAAATAAAGTGTCTTATTTTAAGCCATCGGAGTTGTTTGCAGTTTTGTATACTTCTTTCCACAAACGACTGGTACAGCATGCACTCTGA